CTGGGCCGTGAGGGAAGGCCACTGGCCGTTTGGAAATCGCTAACCGCGGCCCTTTGCGTTCCCGGGCTCCTGCGTGCTGGGTTACAAGGCCAGCTTGGAAGTGGGTGGCGCTGGTTTCAGGCCGGGTTGCATCCTCAGATGGCACTTTGGGGATCTTCAGAGCCTTGTGATTTACTGTGTAAAGTTTGTAAGGGCAGGGGGCAGCCGCTTGAGTTTGCCACTGGGTAATGGGAAGGTGAGTGCAAGTGTAAGATCCAATAAAGCTTTCGATTTTGATTGGCTTTTCTGTTGAACTGACTGGGAAGGGAGTGGTGGGGCCCTGAGCCTCCTGATAAGCCCGATTGGGCTTGGGCTTCGGTCATCCCTTCAGCTCTAGGGCAAGTTGGGCAGCTTCTCTCCTGGCTGGCCCCCGCCTCACTCCCACCCCACACCCCTGCTGTGGCGCCTCTTCTAGCTGTCTAGCAAGCGCCAATCTCAAGTCTAACTTCAGGTTTTGTCAAGGCTGAGGCGACTTTGCATCTGAAAGAGGCCCTTGCTGTGAGGGGAGGGACTTGCCCCTCATCTAGGTCACTGTCCTAGGTCCAGCTTGGGGTTCCTACATAATTGCCCAAAAGGGACAACTTGAAGCTTCCAAATGGGTAACTGAGGACCCCCTTTTGTTATGACCCTTTCGGTTAAAGTTCTGCCAGGTACAAGCTCAGTAAAAGGGCTAGTAGTGGGCCTGCGGCCTACTCAAAGCCCACCTGGACCTGGATGCAAAGCTGAGCCCCGCCCTCACCTGCAGCTGGGTTCCATAGTTGTCCAGGCACCTGGCGGTTGTCTCCCACAGCTGTGAGCGCGGCAGGGCTGCCACTTCTCTGGCTTTAGTCACAACCAAAATGGAAGAGTAAGCCCACCTCCCAAGGTTGTCAGGAAACAGGGTGTCTGGCCTGGCGCGCGGTGGGGGGCAGAGGTTGGGAGCAGCAGGCATGGCACGTGGAAGCACTTGCCTGAAGTAGGGGCACTGGATTCAGGAAGCCCCCTTTCTGCAGGCTTCTGAACCTAAGTGGGGCACAAGGACTTTAGTACTAATTCCAAAGAACTTGAGCACTTAAGTTCTTTCACATTCTTCAGCCTAGAGGCTTCCCTAGCCGTGTTGGGACCCTGGGCAGTCCCTGGCTGGCCTAAGGTTTCTACAACAGTAAAGCCTGCTTGGCTTCATTGATCTATCCCAAAACATGGGCGGGCTTCTCGCCCAAAGTTGCCTGGCTTTGGTGGGTGTCCACAGTTGGAGCTGGCTTCTGCCGGGCATAGACTGATCTTTGTAGCAAGGGGCAGGCTCCCTGCTGCCCGGCTCGGCTCCTTAATGAAACCACCCTTAACAAACGTAAACAAACCTACGGTGGTTGCAGATGAGCCCCGAGTCATCCTTCAGTGTGGGTACCCTTGATGTTTTGAACCAAACACTGGTGGGTGGGGGTGTCCTAGACTTTGTAAGAAATACAGCAGGACCCTTGGCCTTCAGCCAGCAAAACTGCCAAGGTCCCCTGTCACCTTGGGGGTGGGGGACCAGTGGAGTTAAAACATCAACCTCCCTTGAGACCCCAACTCAAGAATCACCTGCCCCCCTAAATTCTCTCCATGGCACCTATATTCCTGAAATCAAAGCTCCAAATCTCATCAGAAGCTGACTGCAGAGTCCAGGCAGAAACAGATTTATGCTGCATGAGTTTATCTTGAGTAAAGATCTTGGTCCTGGGGTGGGCTTGACCTGAGAGGAACCAGCAGATAGCATTCAGCAGCCAATGTCTAGATAAGGCTTGGTTGCTCGTAGTGCCGCCAGCCGCCTGTGGGTGGATTTGCTCAGTTCCATCCCAAATAGCCTGAGAAGAGTGGAAACAGGGTGACCGTCTGGGATTGAGACATTCAGTCCACACATCAAATCTCACTGTTTCTCTAGCCCTAATCAGTGTTCACTTCCTCTGTAGTAGCCTGAAGATGCAACTATTTTCCCCATTTAATAGACGGGGATATTGGGTACTAAATTGCAAAAGTCTCTCCCTAAGTTGGTAAGTGACAGTATCCGTACTGAAGGCCAGTAGTTGTTCCAGACCCTCACTAGAGCTACGATGACTGCATAGCACAGAGAGGGTAACAGGTAGCAAATTAAGTCATGTAGACAGACAGGGCTTATAGGTACCTCCCAAGAGGTAAAGCCTCCTGTGTATTCCACAGGAATGAACTTTCAATTTTCTGGGTAAGTTGTGCCATCAGTGGGCCTGGCTCGCTGCCCCTCCCTCCCACTCTAAGCCCATGTGCTGGCCCCAGGATCAGGGGCCAGCTCTCACCAGAGGACTTGGAGTTTGCAAGCAGGAAGGCTCAGTCTCTTGCACAGCTGCCTGACCCCTGTGTTCCCCAGGGCGTTGTTGGTCAGATAAAGCTCCTGCAGGATCTGGTTGGTCCCCAGGGTGTTAGAAAGATCCTCACAAGCTTTAGCTGTGAGGCCACAGCTATCCAGCCTGTTGAAACAATATCAGAAGTTAGTGATGTTTTCAGGGGACCAGTGTGACAGAAGTTAGAACAGAGCCAGACCAGGTCAGGTCAAGGGCAAGGTGGCCATGGAAGGCATTTAGGAGACTCACTATGGCGGCCCTCAGTTCCGTCTCTGACGGACGCCTGCTGATGTGGTCAGTACCTATCCCTCTCCTGGGAGTTGTGCCCCAGTTTCCACTGAGGCCCATTTCAGTCCGCCTAGAATTCATGTCCTCAAGCTCTAGAGGTGGTTTCTGTTTCCATCAAACTCAAATGATGTGGACACAGGATCCACGCAGAGCCATGGATTCAGAACCACAGTTTTCTTGGTTTTTTTCTTTTCAGGATTTGAAGCTGGGAAGGCATTTTGTCACCAAGCAGGGTCAAGGTTAACTTTAACTGTTAATGGAATCAGTACAGCAATAAATACAAGAGAAAATGGAAACTGAAGTTCCGAACACCTAGATTAAGCCATGCCTGAAGTGGTTTTTCAGTTACATGTCAAAAAAGCCTTTATTTTCAGAAGTCAAGAGAACTGGTGCTCTCTGATTTACTTTTTTATTTTTTGCATTGTCTCCAATTTTTTCCCTGTATTTACTGCTGTTACAATAAAAACAAGAATGGGTAGCATTTATTAAATCAGTGGTGGGGCCTCCCTGATGGCACAGGGGTTAAAGACAGCTCTATCAAGCTATCGCCAGTCGGAGCAACATGAGTTCAGTTCCCGGTGGGCCAGGGAGCCGAGCTACATGGTGCAGCAGACCTCTCCTGTCTTGCCCACTGCTCCTCTCAGCAGTGTAATTCAGTGTGTGCCAGTTCTGCTCCCCACTCTGTCTCTGGTGAATCTTCTCAGCCCTCCACCTCTGGCCTGCACCCCAGTTCTTGTATGCATAAATAAATACCAAAAAAGAGAAAATCAACTTAAGCTCTTGTGTGCCAAGGGCCCTACTTTTTTACTCATGTTTTAAAATGAGCTAGTCTGTTTATGCATGCAAGAAGTGGGGTGTAAGCCAGAGGTGAGGGATGCGAGGATTCACCAGAGACAGAGAGGGCTGGTAGATGTCCTGGAATCCACTGCTGAGGGGAGCAGCAGGAGAGGTCTGTTGCGTCCTGTGGGTCCCGCCCAGGGATCGAATTCAGGCCCAGGCCGCAGTGGCTGCAGATAGCTTCATAGTGCTGAGACAACCCTGTGCCACCAGGGAGGGATAAAGCCCTATGCAGAAAAACAAAAGGGCAAGAAACGCCCCGCCCCAGTGACGACCAGCAGCCACTCACCACAGTCTCCGGAGCCTGCAGCCTGGGTGTCGCAGGCCCTCGCACAGCCACCACGTGCCCGGGTCGCCCAGGTCGTTGAAGCTGAGGTCCATCTCCTGGAGGTGGGGGCTGGCCCCGAGCACTGCGCACAGACCCTCACAGGCGGCGGCTCCCAGGCGGCAGATGCCCAGCCTGCAAAGACAGTCGGCTCATCCCTCCGCACACACCTCGGGGCAGGCCAGGGGTGCCAGCCCCCGAGTGGGGCGGAGTTCATGGACTCGTGTACCCTTGAGAGACAGGGAGAAAGCAGGCAGGGGTTCCTTCTGGGGTGGAGGATGATCTAAATAGATCATAAATATAGTACATACCACATACGTACACAAAAAATAGAGCTATTATAGCGACGGGACTGGGATAGGAGCAGAGACAAATGCAAAGGCTGAGCAAACACCCTTTTGGAAACAGGGTTTACGAGCGAGCTGGCATGACCCTCAGCCAGGAAAGGACGGCTTCCTCATTACACGCTGCTGCAAAAAGCATCACGAAAGGAAGCGGGGACCCTTCCCGTGTGGCAGGGGTCAGGTGCGGCACCAGGAAGCTGTCCGCAGCCACTGCAGTACAAAGTTGATCCCTGACTGGGGAGCTGACCCCCAGGGCGCAGCAGACCTCCCCTGAACCCCGCTGCTCCCCCCGGCAGTGCATTTCAGTAGCTCCACCTGTTCTGCTCCCCACTCTGTCTGGTGAGTCCTCTCACGTCCCACACCTCTGACTTGTACCCCAGTTCTTGTATGCATGCATAAATAAATATTTTTTTTAAAGAAATGCATATAGATTTGACCTCAAAACAACGATTTTCACTGGATGAAAGGATTCACGTGCAGGTTGGCTGATTGCCAACGGTCCCGAAGACATTTCCAAGTGCAGTGCACAGAAGACTAATATCTGCAGTATTCGGGGAACATCTCCAATCAACGAGGCAAGTACAGAGCACGCTCACCACATGGGCACACTATGAGCGGGCCGTGCACAGAGGTGGGAACAAAAAGCTGTTAAACACATGCAGAGACACCAGCCTCACTACTTAGTGATGACAAAAACAGAAGTTAAGAACATTTTACACACAACCGTGTTGATTTATTTTTTGTGTGTTGAAAAACTGGGGTACAGGCCAGAGGTGCAGGGGGCCAGAGTTTTTACCAGAGACAGAGTGTGGAGCAGAACAGGCAGATGGACTGACATCCACTGCTGAGGGGAGCAGCGGGGAGACAAGAGGGGTCGGCTGCACCCCAGGGGTCACTCTCTGGCCGGGGATCGAACTCATGCTGCAGTGGCTGTGACAGCTTCGGAGCAGTGAGAAATGAATAAATTGCTGGTAGTAAGGATCATGAAACTGGGAACCAGACCTATCTGGAGGCTTGGGAAGGCATCCTCAGCGAAAATCACTTGTTTTGGCTATTTACAGACAAAGAAAGTCATCAGGGCCTCAGGGGCACAGCTGGGCAGAAGTTAGGAGAAGAGGGCAGGGAGGGTGGCCAGTGAGCCCAGAGGGCACAGACTGCGGTTTTTGGGTTCCTGTGGTGTGGAGCGCGCAGCGGGACTCACCGGAGGGTCTGGAGTTTGCAGTGGGGATGCTTGAGCCCCTCACAGAGCAGCAGCACCCCAGGGTCCCCCAGGTCATTCAGGCTTAAGTCCAGCTCCCTCAGGCTCTGGTTCACACTGAGGGTGGAGGCCAGGTGCTCACAGGCGGCGGCTGTGAGGCGGCAGATCTTCAACCTGCGAGAAAACCACTCCAACTCCATGACAGTGTCTTCTTGACAACGCTAACTGTCTCCTCCCTTAACAGTAATACATTTCAAACAGACTTGTTTAAAAAACGTGCATGAGTATGATCCCCAGCCGGCCAGGGAGCTGACCCCCCAGGGCACAACATACTTCTCCTGTCTCCCCACTGCTCCCCTTAGCAGTGTCTTTCAGTAGATCTGCCTGTTCTTTTTTTTTTTTTTTAGATTTATTTATTTATGCATATGGCCAGAGGGGCAGGGGCCGCGAGAGGATTCACCAGAGACAGAGTGGGGAGCAGAACAGGCAGATCACGAAGGACACTGCTGAGGGGAGCAGCGGGCAAGGCAGGAGAGGTCTGCCGTGCCACGTGGGTCACTCCCCGGCAAGGGATCCAGCTGCTGTTGAAGCGGCTGCAGCTAGCTTCGTAATGCTGCGCTTTAACCCGTTGCGCCACCAGGGAGGGCCCAGAGCTGCCTGTTCTGCTCCCACTCTGTCTCTGTTGAGTCCTCTCACCCCTCACGTTCCTCGTCCCTCTGGCCTGCACCCCAGCTCTTGTATGCATAGATAAAATCAATCTTAAAAAAAAAAGACAAGATGTTCCACATGACCAAGCACAATGAGATAGCACCTCACACCCATAAATAATGGCTCCTCTACAGTAACATTTTTAAAAAACCCTGAAACCCAGCACAGAATACATGTCGGTGAGGATGTGGAGAATTCAGGAACTTGGACACTGTCAGTGGGAATATAAATGGTACAGCTGTTACGGAAGGCAACATGACAGTGCCTCAAAAAATTAAAAATCCCCACAGGCTCCGTCAATTCCATTTCTGGTTACATAACCAAAAGAATCGAAAGGGAGGGCTCAAATTTCTGTACACCAGTGTTCATAGCAGCGTTATTTAATAGCCCAAAGGAAGCCACCTGGATGTCCAAGAATGGTTGGAGAAACAAGAATATGAGAGAACAAATACATGAGGTTACCACTGCAGCCGAGTGCAGAGCTCTGAGGCGTTGCGAACACGCTCCTGTCTGCAGCCATCACTGCCACCCACCTCCAGAACCTTCTCACCGGCCCCACAGAAGCTCCCCATTTCCTCCTGCCTGCAATCCGCTGTCCTGTTCTCTGCCTCTGTGTGTGCGATTATTCTAGGTCTCTCCTGTGAGCAGAATCAAATAGTCTCTGTCCTTTTGTGGCCTATTTCACTTCACAGAATGTCCTCCATGTACCTGAGTTTCCCCTTGTAGGGTAGAGTAAGCGTCTTGGGGTGTGTCTGCCACATTTTGTGGACCCCATCCCCCACCTGTGGACATTTGGGTGGTTTCCACCTTCTGGTCATTTGGAATAACACTGCTGTGAACAAGGGTGAGCAAAGCACAGGTGTAATCCCACACCATCGTTCAGCTCCAGTTGGCTTTCCAATGGGTCGCCCCCCACCCCAGCTCACCACAAGATGCGCAGCCTACAGGCGGGGTGCCTCAAACCCCGACACAGCTCCTGCACACCCAGGTCCTCCAGGGCGTTTCCCGTCAGGTCCAGCTCCACCAGATGTTGGTTGGTGCTGAGCACGGATGCCATCTCCTGGCAAGCCCCAGCTTCCAGCTGACATTTTCTCAACCTGGGGGCGAAGAGTCAGGGCAGAGACACCATCTTGCTTTTCTGCCATCCGATGGCTCCTCCCCTGCCCCCGTGTAACCCCCAGGCATGATGTCCATCGCTCAAGCTACAGAGATTAACAAGACTTTGCCCAGAGGAGAACGCAGCTAGGAAATCCCAGTGATACAGGGTTCCGGGCGCTTCCAGCGGGGGTGAACCCACCCACAGTGGAGGGTGACACACACCTGAGTCCTCTGTCATCTCCTTTTAGAAACTGGCCAATGGACATGGGTATCTCCCCCAGTTCTGTGAGTCTAGTCAGCAAATACCCGCAAGGCCGCAGAACCTCTAATCTACAGCCAGTAGGTGAGAACACAGGTGAGCGACGGAGTTTGCAGCTGGCACCCGAAGTGTGTTGGCAGCGGTGTCCCGAGACTGGGCCCTTCACCTGTGGAGTCTGATGCTATTTTGACGTCAACTGTGGGACACTCAGCTGGCGTCACACAACTGCTTGACGGGGTGGGGCCCACACATTTGGTGTCAGAGTGTGAGGACTAGGGGGTTTCGTATGGGAAGCAAAGGAGAGGTGGAAGACTGAGCTTTGTTCTAGAAGTGTCGTCACAGGACAAGAGAGTCACTTCACTAAGAGGTCCGAGAAGGAGCTCGGGCTCTGGCTGCCGGGGCGTGGCCAGTCAGGAGTGCTGGGGTGCTGGGTGGGCAGGTGGCCACCGAGGGAAGGGCGGACTCAGGAAGGCAGAGAGAGGTTGTGCGAAGCTCAGAGCGCAGTGCAGGATCTGCGTTCATGGAGGAGTCGGCCCTGGCTTGGAGGTGGAGACTGGGCTCATGGCCTTTGGGGAAACGCCAACCCTCGCGGATGACAGGTTCGCTGTGGGACACGGTGGGGACGAGTTTGCATCAGGGGCAGAGACTCACTGAATCACCTGCAGCCGGCACTGGGGGCGCCTCAGTCCCTCGCACAGCAGCTGCACGTCCCGGAGCGTCAGGCTGTTGCTGCTTAGGTCCAGCTTGACTAAATTCTCACTGGCCACCAGCGCCTCGGCGAGGTCCTGGCAGGCGGGGCCAGAGACCTGGCACCTCTTCAGCCTGGGGAGGAAGGGAGGAGAGAAGAGTCAGGTCGCTTCCTCGGCGATCTCTGTGGGGACCCTGTCTCTAGCCCTTTCTCTCCCGCCTTCTTGACATCTGCACGGATTTCCCCCATTTTCTAAAATAAATGAATGGAGCTGAGTGGACGCCAGGGACGGGAGGCCGGCAGGAGTGACTGCGTGCGTGTGGTGCTTCTGGCTGTGGCGATGGTGTCTGGAATCAGGCAGTGGGTTGTTGCCCAGTCTTGTGAATATAACAGAAACAATCGCTGAGCGTCCTGGGATGTGAATTCTGTCCTAATAATAATTTTAAAAAGCAAAACACAATGTTTGGGTGCTCAGCAATCAGGGAAATGCTTTCCTTAGGGGGAAAGCATTGACTCCTCCAGCCCCCTAACTGTGAGCCTAGATCAATGAACTCGCTTGAGGTTGAGAAACCCTGCTCTTGCCTAAGTCCTGTGCGCTCCCCAATCTAAGTCATCATGTCCTAAGCATCGGACTTTTTCATAACTGCAGAAATAACCACTGCTTCCCCTCACTGATGTGGAAGAAAGGCGTTGGGGGTTTCATCCAGTTGTAAGTTTATCTCCAAAAATGTGTCCTCTCTGTCTGACAACCTCATGTTTACTCTTAAAATGAAAAATGAAGTCCGGCCCTGCCCGGCCTGGTGTCGCGGCAGGTGACAGGGCAGCACTTGAAAGCTGTCCACAGCCCCTGCAGCGCGAGTTCGATCCCCAACCGCGGAGTGACCCCCAGGGCACGGCAGATCTCTCCTGACCTGCCCACTGCTCCCCTCAGCAAAGTACTTCGTCAGTCCTCCTGTTCTGCTCCCCACTCTGTCTCTGGTAAATTCTCTCATCGCCCTTGCCCCTCTGGACTGTACCCCAATTCTGTATGCATAAATGAATCTTTAAAAAAATTATACTCTTTTCTCGCCAACTGACAGACCTGAGTGACCGTTACAGCCCTGCTGCATATTATGTTGGCTTTCTGTTGCTGACCTTGCGATGCTGTTTTTTGTGTCCAGCCTGAGAAGAACCCTCAAAGTGGTGGATTTCCCCTGGGACCCAACAGAAACCATTTTGGCCACAGGGGGAACAGTTTTAGAACTTGCAACAGTCACTACACCTTCCCCCAACTGCATGAAAGCTGGGACAATGGTTTTGCCCTTACTGGGCTGGGGAGAGACCCCGGTAAGGCACTTTACCTCAGGCGCCCCCACAATCGGTCGGTGCACACAGCAAGCGGGGCGTCATGGGGTTGGGGTGTGTCTGGCTCGCAAGATGGCGGCCTTTTCGCCAGTGCGCTGCTGGCGCGGGGGTGTTTGCATCGGCCTTCAGATACACCTAGTTCCATTTTGGTGAGTCTAAGCCATACTTTCATGTCACCACGCTTGGTGACAATACGCATTCTTTAAGTAGGTACATGGCACACAGACATGACAGCGAGAAAGTGTGGAGCCTCAATTTTAACTTCAATCGTGGTGAAGTACACTCCGCGGGGAGCCACAGCTCGCACTCACCTCAGGCTCTGGAGCTTGCAGTTGGGGTGTCTGAGCCCTTGACACAGCAGCCTCACCCCCTGGCTATCCAGCGCGTGGTGGTACAGAGCCAGCTCTAGCAGGCTGGGGTTGGCGCTCAGGACGACAGCTAGCTGCCTGCCGTAGGCGTCCGGCAAAACAGTGCTCCTGGCTCTGCGTGGAAGAAGCAGGACAGAGGGGAGTTGTGCCGGCCACTTCACAGTGATTGCATTGGGCACTTGCATGGCATGTCACGATTTGGGAAGCATTTTGTTACTTTTTTTTTTAAGATTTTATTTTACTTAGGCATACAAGGGCTGGTGTGCAGGCCGGCGGTGTGGGGTTGGGGGTAGGGGATTCACCAGAGAGAGTGGGGGGGCAGAACAGGTGGAGCTACTGAAATCCACTGCTGAGGGGAGCAGCGGGGAGACAGGAGAGGTCTGCTCTGCCCTGGGGTCACCCCCCTTGAAAACCCAAGTCTGGCTACCAGACACCTGGTGGGCACACGGTTGGCTCTGTGGGCTGTGGCACACTTCCTTCCTGCCCATGGAACCGGCCAGCCTGGTTGGCCCCCACTGGTGACCAGCGACAGCGTCGCTCTGTTCGTTTCCTAGCACCACAATGGCAAGCAACGCGAGAGACTTATCTCCCAGGGCTGGAAGTCAGAAGGCTAAGAGGGGTCTCCCGGGGTGTGGCTGGGGCTGTGTTCCTCCTGGAGACTCCAGGGAAGAGTCCATTTCCTGGCCTTTTTGAGTTTCCAGGGGTGCCCTGCCGGGGGCCCCCTTCCGACCCCCCAGGAATCTCCTGACTCCAACCTCATCCCCTTCAGTTGGCTCTCTGTGCCTCGTGACGACTTTGGACAATTCAGGGCTGACCCCCCACCTCAGAACCCTTAACTTAATCGCACCTGCAAAGTCCCTTCTGCCACATCAGCTCTCTCTCATATTCAGTGTCCAGGCGTCAGAACATGGCGGCTTTAGGGAGCCATTAATCTGTCTAGCGCCAGAGCCCAGCAAGCACTTGATTCTATCGTTCCCACTTTCCAGGCAGTAGAAAAAGTGTATTTGGTCACCATCCCCAGTTCCTGACAAGCAGCCCCTAAAACCCTGGCGATTTCCTAAGCGATAAGAGCCTAGGTCTGTCTTTTGTTCTCACATTTGACCTTTGACCCCTGTTCCTAACCCAGAGCTTCCCAGTTCCTGGAATTTCCTGGGTGATAGCAGTGTCTTTGTTCTGTGAGGTGACGCGCGGGGTGGGCTCCTGAAGGAGGCTGGTCTCCAGCCGACCAAACCACGATTAGAAGCTTGGGTTTTTCAGCCCCATCCCCCCCCCCCAGAGAAAGGAGAGGAGAGCTGAGAGTGGAGTTAAGGACCAGTTGTTGCCTCCAAGATGGAGGCTCCGGGAACGTCCCCGAAGTATAGGATTCGGAGAGCTTCCCGCGTGGTGAGCAGGGAGCGCCCAGGGGGGGCACACACTCAGACCTCTGCCTCCGGATATTCGCCGAGTCTTTCTTCCAAGCCCTGGGTAACCGGTGAAGAGTGGAGACTCTTCTCCCGAGTTCCAGGGGCCGCGCCAGTGAATAATCAACCCCGGGGAGAAGGTTGGCGGGACTCCCTAGCCAAGTGAGGCGGGCATTGAGGGTAACCTGCAGACCACTCCTCTCGCCTGGCACCTGAGTCGGGAGGGCGGGGCAGCCCTTTCCTGCGGGAGCTGCTGCTGTCCCCAGGCCCGCAGCTTGGGCTAAATGGTAGGGAAGAGTTTGTGCACACAGAACTGCTTGGCCTGGGGAAGAAACGCTTCTCCCCTCCCCACCCCCCCAGGGTGGCAGCCAAGCTCGACTCCAGGTCATCAAGTGGCGCCCAGGGTCACCCCAGCTGAGAGCATGACCTTGGTGAAGCGCGTGGACTTGGAGAAAGCACCCGACGGGTACTCACGGCTGTGCGGGCTGAGCACTGGGCACCCCTGTGCCCCTCGGCCTGTGCTCCTCGTCCTCCCTGCAGGTTGCCCCGTGCAAATGCAGCTCAAGCATGTTCTTGCAGTTTCTCACGCAGAACGACGAGGCCAGGTACTCCATCTTGGTGGCCATGTGGCTGACCACCACCGCTCGGAAGGGGCTCAGGGCTTGTTGGATAAATTCCTCCTCCTGGATCTCGTACAGGCAGGTGAACAGCTCCAGGGCGCCTTGCTGCAGCGTGGAGCCCTCGCTCTGAGCCTTGCTTTGTATCCAGCTCAACACCTGTGCCTTGATGCGAGGAGAGACCTGCCAGCCCAGACTCTCCTCCAGGTAGCTGCTCATCTCCGGGTTCAGGAGCCCAAAGAGGAAATGGACGGTGAACGCCAAGAAGCTTCTTTCGGAAAACCCGTACTCAGACAGCAGCCTAGTCAGGGTCTCTCCACCTTCCAGGACGTAGTACATGGCGGCAAAGAACTCCTGGAAGCTCAGGTGGATGAAACTGTAGACCTTCTCGCAGTTGATGTCCTTCTGGAAGATGTTCATGTTGAGGAAGGCAGAGACGTCGGCCCCGTCCAGGCCGTGCTTCCTGAGGTCCTGCTCCTCAAACAGGATTTTCTGATGCCAGACGCCGTCTGCGGCCAGTGAACACAGCCCTCTCTGGTTGGGCGGCGGCTGTAGCTTGGGCGTGCCCGGCTTGGGCTGCATCAGGCTCAGGAAGTAGAGCATGTACACGGCAGTGGTGGTCCTGGACTTCTGTCTTAAAAGCCCCCCATCCTCCAGCTGCTGTTTGAGACAGGTGCAAATGACCCAGCACACCAGGGGGACGAAGCACAGGGTGAAGAGGGCCTCGTTGTCCCTCACAAAATTGAAGACCTGGGCGGCCTGCTCTGTGTTGTGGAAATACTTGTAGAAGTACTCCTTCCGTTCCGCTTGGGAGAAGCCCAGGATCTCCACATGCCTGGGGTGCTCTACCATGCGCTGCAGCTTCCGCAGAGCGGTAGGCCTGGTGGTGATAAGCAAAGACAGCTCAGGCAGCAGCTTCTTCCGAATCAGGCTGCTCAGGAGAAGCTCTGGGGGCCCCTTCTTCTCCCAGCAGAAGCAACAGGGACCCTGAGGGTCGTGGAAGGACGGCTTGAGCTCATCAAAGCCGTCGATGATGAGCAGCAGGCGCTCAGAAACGTGGATGAGTTCCCCAAGGGGCACGCTGGGCTGCGGCCAGCAGGTGGACATGAGGTCTTGGGCGCTCCGCTCTGCGGCCCCCTGGTTCATCTCCCTGCAGTTGATGTAGAAGAGATAATCAAACCTGTCTTGGAAGAGCTTCCCATCCGCCCAGTCCAGCATCACCTTGTGGGCGAGCATAGACTTGCCCATTCCGGCTGCGCCCTGCAGAACCACGGTGCGCGGGGGCTCGGGGCGCTCCTCGTCCGGCTCGAAGAGGGATTCCATCTGGATGAGGCTGGTCTGGTGTCCCCGGTCCGTGGTCAGAAGCTTCTGCTGGGCCCGCAGGGGGCTGGAGTGCTCTTTCACCAGGATGAGCCGGGTGTATCGGTGGCTGAGGTTGACACACTCGCCCAGGCGTGCGTTGCGATCCTCCATGAGCCTGAATTTCCTGCGGACATAGTCCTTGTAGACTTCCCGGGGATCTGATGGAGAGGAATGAAGGATGTGTGGAAGAGTCACCAACCTTTCATGAATTCGTCAACTGTAAAGTCAACCCTGGTCTAGTGCTCCTTGCTTCCCAACAGCCTTGGAACCATTTTCTAGATGGAACCCGAGGACCTTGGTCCTTCCCCCCAAAGACCTGCACCCCTGGAAGATGGAAGACGAGACGGTGCGCGCCTCGAGGAAGAGCCCACCTCCCTGCCGCACACTGGGGCTCCTGTTGAAGTAACCTGGCCCAATGTAAACTCTTGAGCCCCATCCCCCACCTCCTGGAGCAGAAATGCCTCTGTATCGAGAAGGCTCATGAATGCATGTTAAATTAGGAGACAGCAAGTTTTCTCTGTGCCCTCTGGAAAAAAAGATAGATGCAATCTGCGCTGGAGAACCTATCTGTTCTATATATCTTCTGCCTAGCCTGCTTGGAAAATCATCTCTCATTCTCCGGCCTGGGGACGTTTGCCCAGGTCTGGGGCCGGGCGCCGCGACTGCCACCTGGTGGTCAGAGACGGGGGTGCAGGCCAGGCACAGCCGCTCACAGGGCTGTCGGGCCGCGGGACCCATCTTGCCAGGGTGGGGAAGCTCTGATCTTAACAAAGTGGATCCTTTGGAGGTCATCCCAGGCCCAGGATATCTGCCCACGGGAAGGTAAAAGACATCTGAAGGTGATTCCAGGACTGTGTTGAAACGGAGGTGTGGACTCCTGCTTCCCAGGGGTGGTAACAGATGCATGACCGGGCGCCTCCCACTGTGACTGCTCAAAGTGTGGGTGCACAAAGTGCACCACAGCGCTGTGCCTGCATCACCACTGATGTCCAGAACTGCCTCATCCTCCTTGAGAGCGACTGTAGCCACTGAGCACTAACTCCCCGTTCTCTCCTCCGGAGTCCCTGGCCCCACCCCAGTGTCTAGAGTGAGACTGTTCGGTACCTCACGGCCTTAGTGAGTGTCCTTTTGTGCTGGGTCCATTTCACTCAGCAGAATGCTCTCAGAGTTCACCCATGTTGCACCAAGCATCAGAATGGCATTCCTTTTTAAAGTCAGCCGAAAGGTGCCAATGTGACCTCGCTTTGATAAGAGACTCCAAGTCTGATTTTTAGTTTTATATTAAAAAGTAATTTTCATCCGTGAAAGCCAGGGTGAATGATAAAGATAACATTTAAACTAAAATTCAATGGAGGTTAAAAAACCATCCACCATTATTGATTTTTTACATTGAAGTGTGATAGATGAATCGTATTTTGCCTTATTTCTCCTGAACCTTGACCGAACATGTAGCTGCGGTAATTCATGTTGTACAAACTCGTGCAAAATAAGGAAAGCTCTTAGTCTACAATGCTAGTAAATCAACTTGAGTAACTTCATTTCTCTGAGTCTCTCATCAGAGAATGAATTAGGTCTTTGATTTTCAAACATTGTTCTGCAAAGTCTTGTCCATTAGGGGTGCTTTAGTCTAAGGGCAGAACTCCAGTCTCCAAAGGTCAGTGGAATGAAAATGTAGGAAGATGCTGGGATTTGGCATGAACCCTGCAACCCACCCACCCCAAGATATTTTTAAAAAAGATTTGTTTATTTATGTATACAGAACTGGGGTACAGGCCAGAGGTGCGGGGTGGGGGGTGTGGGCGCGGGTGAGGCGATTCCTCAGAGACAGAGTGAGGAGCAGCACAGGCAGATTGACTGAAATCCAGTGCTGAGGGAGCAGTAGGCGATCAGGAGAGGTCTGCCGTGCCCTGGGGGTTCACACCCCCCACAGCTGGGGATTGAACTCATGCTACAGTGGCTGCTGGAGCTTCATAGTGTAGCGCATTAACCTGCTGCTTTAAGACTTCTTAAAGCAAACATTGAAGAAATGTCCTGTTTTGCTTAAATACTCTTGGTACAAGAGTCTGGTACATGGGACCCAATTCATGCCAGCGGGCACATGCTTCGGGGCTCACCTTTCTGGGGAGACTGGGTCGGAAGAGCCCATCCTGACTGGTGCCCCGGGGGGGGCTGTCCTCCAGGCGGGGGTTCTGGAAGGGAAATTTGGGGAGATCAGCTGACAGGTGTCTGACGCAGTCGTTCGAGCCACTATCCATCAAGCTGTGCAGATACCTCGTACACTAGCATGTTACCTCATATGCCTCAGCCCCGCCGGAAGCGAGCGCTCTTCATCACCCACCGTCCTTCCTCGTGGTGAGGCCCGCACCGCCACCGGCCCCTTCAGTCCGTCCAGCCGACTAGCTCTGAGTCAGTTTGTGTTATTCCCTCCCGTGGCCGTCCGTGTCTTACCCGTCATCCAGGCGTTCATTGTGTTCCCCACACACACACACACACACACACGATATAATCATAAAAGAAACCTGAAGCTCTGTGTGTGCGCCAGTATTATCCTGACATTTTTCTAGGTGTTGGATACATCGCGATAAGAAACCAAGTCCTCACCCATAGACTTCACATTCCAATGGTGTGTGTAGAGGTCAGCAAATACAAAGTTAACACCATGTAATGTTTCCCAGGCGCCCACAGGGGTTAAATCTCAGCCCTATTAAGCTGTCTGCAGCTAAGGCTGCCAGAGTTTGATGCCGGCCAGGGAGCTGACCCGCAGGGCGCAGCAGACTTCTCCTGTTCTGCCTGCTGCTCCCCTAAGGAGTGGATTCAGTCGGTCTGTCTAGGCTGCTCCCCACTCTGTCTCTGGTAATTCCTCTCACTCACTCCCCCACCTCTGGCCTGTACCCTAGTTCTCGTATGCATAAATAAATCTTAAAAAAAAAGATAGGTGGGCCATATAACCTGTGTGATGATGAGGAAAACTGTGTCTCAAATGAAACAGAATTAAACAGGCTATGTGAGAACGTGACGAACTGGTCATGCATTGGGCCCCGGGCTCAGGGGTTCCCACCCAGGAGCGGGAATCGCACCATGCCTGTCCCGTCACCTCCTTACCCCTCGCCAGTTCCTCCGACTGTCCTCGCTCCCACAGGTCCTTCCTGTTGATCCGCTCAAAGAGGCGCAGAGTGAGCCGCCAGGCGTCCCTCGCCCCGCAGTGGGCCAGCAGCAGCTGGGCCATCTCCAGGGGACCTGCGGTCTCCATGCGCCCCCGGGGGATCCCGCCCTGCCCCAGCTCGGCCGCAGCCCCCAGGTATAACTTGAACTTCTTCAGGTCCATGGCCTCCAGCTCTTCCAAGTAGGTGGACAGGAGCCAGAGGCCATCCCTGACTGGGGTGCGGGGCATGGGGGCAGCGTGGACCCGAAGGAGAGAAGCTGGAGACCAGGACAGGCAGTCCCAACATGCCTGCGTCTGGCTGTCGGCGGGCAGAGGCTGCAGGGGGGAGAGAGGCGAAAGCCTGGCTGATGAAATAGCTGCTTTCGCACCCTCGAGTCCCCTGCCCCCGGCCTCACTCATGTCACTCACAAGTGGAAGTGGGGGGAGGTTATGAAATAGCGGAAGCATCTGCTCAAGAGAAAGCATTTCACTTGTTTCTTTTAAATAAATCATTTTTTAAAAGATTTGTTTATTTATGCACACAGGAACTGGGGTGCAGGCCAGGTGTGGGGCTGAGAGGACTCCCCAGCGACAGAGTGGGGAGCAGAACAGGCGGATCCACTGACATCCACTGCTGAGGGGGCAGCGGGGAGACCCCTGCCCGGGGATCCGGGATCGAAACCCCTGTTGCCGTGGCTGTGGCAGCTTCACAGAGCTGAGACTTAACGGCCGCCCACAGGGGACCCCGGGCTTGTAGGCAGAGTGGACCACGGGCCTTTGCTGTGCCTTTTGGGACCTGGTGCCTCGAGGACAGGACTGGCAGACAAGGAGGGGTCACCTGTTGTTCACTCTGCTAGAGAAGACGCGGTATTAGAGATGATTAGAGAGAGAGAAGACTTATTTACTAAAAAGCCCAGAACTGGATACTGCCGCCTCAAGTGCCTTCTTCCAGGTCATGACAGGGGGCAGAGATTGCTGCAAAGGGCCATGCCCAGCTGGCCGCTCTTCCCCAGGGCAGCAAGGACAGAAACTCCCCTTCGCCTAGGGGCCGGCTGCTCTCAGCCCCAACTGGTTTCATTTCTTAACCAACTTCCCAGACTTGCAAGCCTCATGGACTGCTAGTTCCCTCCCAGGGCCAAGAGGCTGACCCCGGGCGGGATGAGAAGATCCTGCGGCCCTTTTGTGGGGGCTGACCCCACCCCAGCAGCTAGACGGCGGAAGCCACACGTCCAGCAGGCTCCTAATTGGCTCCAGTGCCGCCCAGGGCCACATGTGCACAAATCTGCAAATACACAAGCACCCTCCCCCGGCCCCCGCGGCACGGACACATTTAAAAGGGTGAGTTGATGGTATGTGAGTTAACGTGAGAAAATCATCTGCACTATAAATGCAACCTAAGTGAGCTATTTAGGCAGTAAGATAAAATGATAAAAATGCAGCTTTCTATATATGTGTGTATACACACACATACATATACACACATAGACGAATTTAAAAAGAACGTCACCCACCATCCGGCTAGAGCTGCTTTTAAATATGCCCCAAATCTCGCGCCTCCTGATTTGTCTGGGTGGATGCAACACTCTGGTGATCTGCACAACACATTTTCAGCAGCCCGCCGTCCGTCCAAGCGAGACCGGCCCTGGCCACAGCCCGCCGGTAGGGTGGGCGGCAGGGAACGGGGGCCTGGCGCCCAGGCGCTCCACGGGCTGAGCTCTGCCCACGCCACCGGCATCGTCCTGACCGGCACCACGTGGTCACAGGTGGTTGGCACAGCTTCGGGCTGCCGGCCGTGGGCAGGGAGCCGGTGAAGCAAATGCTCTTCTCAAAGGCAACTTACACTTCATTGCCAGAGCCTGGGTGCTCGGGCATCTCTCCCGCCTCGCGCCTCCCCTGTCTGAAGGTGGGGCTCTCAGCACTCCTCCGATGACGACGCTCGGAGAATTAGAAAAGGAAGCAGCGGCTTCAACTCCAATGAGCTGTGAGGTCTTCCCGCCACGGTCCTCTGCTCCTGCCTTGGCGTCCCATTCCTTGACTCAAGTCTCAGCACAGCGCCCCACTTCCCAAGTCGAGGGTCATCGTGCAAGCCCTGGAAATGGCGGGGTGCCCTGGGAAGACAGCGGGGCCTGGAGCCGGACAGACTCGGGCACACTGGGACTCCTTGCGGGACCGGGTCACTGTTTCCCGTGTATCAGTTCTAGTCCCCTTGAGAAGCGGCACGCCCACCCCTCTGAATCAGTTTCGATGTGGGCTCCATGGACTCCTGACAATGCTCCCCTGGCCCCGGCAGGCGGCCGCTCTCGCGGGAGGCTCAGGTGTGGGCTGGGATGTGACTCGGACTCTGTTTTCCTAGGGCCAGACACGCGGGAGACGCGCAGGCGGTCTGGGCAATGACGCGTCCCTTCCACAGGCACGTGACAGTTATGAAGACAGAAGTATGAACGCACGAACGGGACAGGTGCGGGATGGACGACGGAGTGGGAAAGCTGACCACATGTTAGAAGCCGCCTGTGGAGAGCCAGCGAGCGGGAAAAGAAACTAGGGGTGTCAGTGCCCGTGAGGACGATCACTGGGTACGGGGAGATGGTGGAGGGGAGCTTTGACTGCCCTGCTGGGTGGCCCCTGCGCACTCCCATGGTGGTGACTGCGGTGTGATCACATCTCCCACTTTTCCAGGAGATGTGGGAGGCTGAGTCCCCAGGGGCCCTGGGGAGCCCAGAGCCCGCAGGGCTGTTCACACACACCTGGAGAGGACACCTGCCACCCCCCTGGGGGCCCTGCGCACCAGCAGCAGCCGCAGCTCAGATTCGAGGGGTCCTGACGAGACCATCATTCCCAGCTTACAGATGGGGAAACTGAGGACCGGAGCGTGTCGCCCCAAAACAGTAACTTTCAGACTCAGGTGTGTCTGCCTCCAAAGTTCAAGCGTTTGAAGGAGCTGGGAGGAAACTTAGAAACCTGATTTGAAAAAGTGGCACACGGAGGCCTGCAGAGATGAAGCCCCCCGCAGCCCCCCAGGGCTGCCTGCAACAGCCGGAGGCCGCGCCCTCTGCCCCTCATAATGACGCTGCGCCCCTGGCAGCTGGGTGCCCTGGGCTCTGGGCAAGGCCTTGTGAAACTTCCTGCTCAGCTGTGTCCTCATGCCACTTACCGCAGCCGGCAGGAAGTTCCCAGCTGGGCTGGCCCCTTCCTCATCGGGCGTCAGAGGCTTCCGGGAGATCCTGGGTCTCTGGCTTCTCACCATTCCTGCCCGGCCCACTGGCAGACTCAGCCTGTGGTCAATAATGTTAAAAGTTAACCCGGGGGGGCCTCGCTGGTGGTGTAGAGGTGAAGTCTCAGCTTCAAGATATCTCCGGCCTCTGCAGCAGGAGTTCGATCCTGGCCAGGGAGCTGCAGACCCCTCCTGTCTCCCACTGTTCCCTTCAGCAGTGGATTTCAGTAGGTCCCCCTGTCCTACTCCCCACTCTCTCTGGTGAATCCTTTGACTCCCCCCACACCTCTGCCCTACACCCGTTATTGTATGCGTAAGTAAATAAAAATAAATCTTAAAAAATATGAAATAAAAAGGGCCTCCCTGGTGGCGCAAAGGGTTAAGTCTCAGCACTAAGAAGCTATCACCAGCCAGAAAATAAAAGTTAACTAAGGGGCAGTGTGTGGAACCTAAACTAGCTACCCTGCCGCCTCAGACCAGGCCGAGTTCCTGCCACAAGCTCTCCCAGAATCCCAGATCTTTCTTGACAGATGCAGCACGCGAGGGCCTCCCCCTTAGCCCACCCCCCAACGGCACTCTCCTTTCCTAGCGGTAACATCAGTTTACAGCCACGGACAGGTTCAGGACTGCATTCTTCACCAGGCCCCCCCAAGGTCCGGTCTCCTGCTCGCCGCCCACCAGTGAGGGCCCTTCTCACCACGGCCTCCCCTCCCCTGGAGTCCACCACCCTGTTGCTAGAGTCTGAGTGTTTGTCTATATTCTTTATATTCCACTAGTGAGTGAAATTAGATGTATTTGTCTCTCTGGCTTATTTCACTTGGCATCATTTGCTCCAGGCCCATCCAAGTTGGCACCAATGACTGAATTTGTCTTTTTCTGTAGCTGAGTGATTTTCCATGGTGGACGCGGACCACCTCTTTATCCATCATCTGTGGTAGGTTCCTGGGTGGTCTCCATGTCGCGCTGCTGTAAACAGAGCCCTGGTGAACGCCCGGAGGCCTGCTTTTTGAATTAGTAGGTTTTTGTTTTTTAAGATTTATTTACGTAAGCATATAAGAGCTGGGGTGCAGGCCAGAGGTGTGGGGAGCTGAGAGGACTGACTAGAGAGACTGTGGGGAGCAGATCCACTGAAACCCAGTGCTGAGGGAGCAGCAGGGAGACAGGAGAGGTCAGCTGCAGTGTGCATCCCTCCCTGGCCGGGGATCGATCTCGTGCTGAAGCAGCTGCATCTAGCTTGCAGTGAGGCACTTTAACCTGTTGTGCCACCAGGGAGGGCTGGTGGCCTCAGTTTTATAGTCACATTCCTGGGGTTTCTTTCGCTCTGCTCCTTCTTTGCTCTCCTCTGGGTCCTTTCGCTGGGCCCATCCCCGCCAGCCCCCTCCC